ATCGATGGATTCTAGGTCTATTGTGTTGGACAGTTTGTTATATGTTTGGACTGATTTGTCTGGTTTTCAAGTACCATGAATAACAATGGGATATCATCACTGGATTGTCCAGTTTACAGCTGAAATATTGTCCCAGAGATTCTATCTGGGATTGTACAAGTGATTATACTCGGATAGTCATTAACCGTTAGTTACAGTTACAAGACTTAAGTACGAGTGTTCTGCATGTATGAGATTGTACAATTTATGATAAAATGAAAAATACAATATGCATGGCAATACATCAAGAAAACAAAAAGAAAAAGAAAGTCATATAATTACCTAGGATAATAGTGATACTTTCATTGAAGTCCTTCGCTTAAGTATTTAAGTATGCCGCGTTTTAAGTACCATATTGACAAACCGGCTACAGACGGGGCGTTACATTTGTCTCCCTTGAGCTTGGAAAATCATCACCACATCATTCTAGGATGATCTATGGTAAGTAAACTCACTTTCTTTCATGCTATTATGAAGTTTCATGGATGTTGATCTTTGCATGAACAGTGACAACGAAAATTAGATAATTAGAGATGATTTTGATGGTTGCTTTCTTGTTTTGTTGATATAGAGATGAGCCAAAAGATGCTTTGGTAGTAGAAGATCCATTAGAGGATCCATTGGGTTGAAAAACCTAATACTTGAAATACTATCATAAGAGGTGAGTTGATGTTAGATGAGTAAATAGATTTCCTAGCTATGGACTTAGTATTTTGTGTGGTATTTGTGTTAATGATCACCTTTACAACTAAGTTGTTATTGTGTTGAAGTGGTGGTTGTTGCATTGAAGAGAAAAAGAAAGTAGAAAACAAAAGTCTACAGTAAGATAAACTTCTGGACCTTGGGTATAAGTCCCTCGTGTGTTCCACCATGCTCCTTTGAGGAGTAACGATTTATGTTGTGCATTTTGTTTTAAACCTTGTATGACGCATGATAAGAAATAATATACAAAAAGAATATATAGATTAGAAAGAAAAGATAGTAGACAACACTTCTTTGTGGATTGTATCCCTTGGAACAACCTTTAGACGTATACCATCGTTGGAGATTTCATCCTTTGGGATAACCCTTGGTAAGGTATTTATGCATCTTCCTTTGGAAATGCAATGGTTGGCCATACCAAAGAAAAAATGTAAAGAATAGACATAAAAGAATAGAATAGAAGAAACTTTCCTTGGTAAGCCTTCGGGACATCTTTAGGGTATAGTCACCTAAGAGCCACAAGTAGAGTGGAACTCTCTTGAAAGTTCCATCCCAGAATATATTATATATGCATGCTTTGTTTTAATATTATTTATGCACTGAAAGTGAACTATAGGGTGAAGTGATCCTTCAAAGACCCTTAGTTTACTGAGATTTTTATCTCACCCCATGTTGGGGGATATCATTTCAAGTACCTCCACTGATGGAGAGGGAGCATCTCATGGCAAAAGGTCAAATAGACTGTTTTATATTGCATGCTGCTGCTATGGATTATTTTTGTTGTAAATGTAATTGTAATCCTATTTTGAGAAGAACATGTTATAAGAGAAGATGTATGAGAGGAATTTAGAATATAATCATGATTGCCTTGTATCACTTTTGATGTATATTTGTGTAGAGAATTTTGATCATATGTTTTGTAATATTCTAAGTTCCAAGTTATGTAATATGAAGAGACAATGACAATATACCTTTATATATTATTCATTGGTATGTTTTCATGAGATAAGAATATGTATGTTGAGATATTTTGAGAAAAGATAGATGCAGAAATGACCTATAATGTTGATGCATGTATGAGAGACTAAAGGCAAGAAATAAGAAGAAAGATAAGTGTTAATATGTATGAGAAAGAGCTAGAAAGATAAATTGAAGTACAAGAAAGAAATTGAGCAATGGAAGAAATGTATATATATGAGGATGTAATATGTTTGTTGGGCATATGGTTTCAATTCCAGTTTGATTAGGTACCAAAACAATGCAGGTTTTCCTAAGAATTAGTCCAACAAACCATGGGAACCAGTTAGGTACATAGTTGCTCGTTGACTTGTTTGCTCAAGGGAGCAGTCCAACGAGCAAATATAAATTGAAGACAGTAGCCACTATCTGGACAGGGCTTTGCTCGTGGACATGCTCGCTGAAGCGATAAATTGCTTGCGTTACAAGGAAACCCTGTTAGCCACTGTCAAAATTAAGGAGTTGATCGCTGAAGCGAGCAGCCTAGCGAGGAGAGTTAGGGGATGGCAGTAGCTACTAGCTATATTTTGAATTTGCTCGCTAACGTGCTCGCTTCAGTGAGTACGACGGTGAGGAAATACGATCTGCTCGCTAGCTAGCTCGCTGAAGCGAGGAGACATAGACCAACCCTTGTTGTTAGGTTGCTCGCGGACTTCAACTCGCTTAAGCAAGGGTCTTAGCGAGTAGTGACAGAACATGATAAAGAAGTTTAATGCTATGTACGTGTACGAGAACTTTATAGCAATGATGTATGATTAATGTTTAATGTATTTAAGTATAAAATAAGGATTTTGCACAATGTATAAGTTATAATTACAGTTTTGAATTATTTTAAATACGAAAAGAGTTTTATCAGAAAAAGAAAAAGCCAACAGAAAAGCATAAAGTTTAGTCGTATTTTAATTTAACTGCTGTGATTATAACTGCGCTTAATGTCGTATGAAATGATAACAAACTAGTTATGAACAGGGTGTTACATATTATGGTATTAGAATAGTTTCAAAGGGAATCTTATGAAAGTTATGTTATAAGATATGCTTTATAGTTGTTTTAGGTACTTATTATGATTATTGCATGTATGATCACTAAGTGTGGGTTATGGTATAGCTTTGGTGTTGATTAGATTTTTAAAATTTATACAACATTGATATTAGCTGGATTTTACTAGTTGGACCTTTTGGCACTAGCTGGGTCTTGTCCTTGGCTCCACCACTGGATGCGTCATTAATTTAACAATTGCAAAGAAATTATCAATATACCAACACCAAAACTGTATCAGTGCTTAAAAACTATATCTATTAACAAAATATTGATCATTTGCAATCACCTATAAGTCATTTGGTAACACCATGGTTTCCGCTTGCCAGAAAGATATTCATTTTAGTGTTTAGCTTCAACTCAATTGACACCACTCAAAGTCTTTTAAGACTCGAGTGTATGTTGATGTCAGAGGCACCTTCAATGGAACCAAAAAAATAAAGTATGTAGTATGTACTAAAACTTCAAAATGATACGTCTACTGCTGCTTGCCATGTCCATATTAGAATCTATAGAACAAAGATATTAGTCAAACAAGTTAGTACTGTCTCTATAATGGGTGACACCTTGTAGTTCATAGGCCAAATTCACATCACTAAAGTAGTACTTCATCTATGACTTAGTTCTTATGAACTATATAGTCTTCTCCTTGCTTGTGACATGAGAAATGAGAATGATCCCATTAGAATCTTCAACGCTTAGGAGCTGGTGTCTAGTTTAACAGCTCCAATAAATCTCTTCTGGACAACAGCTGAATTTAACTAGCCAATACAAGAGAAATATTGATAGAGAACGAAGACAACAAAGGAAAAATAACAAAGTTACTTCTTATTTTGTGCTTGGACAGAGGCAAAGGTAAAACTAAATAAGGAGAAAGAGTTTTTCTCCAAACTAAACTTTCTATTTCTCTTTTCTCCTGACATTTTAATAAGCAAAAAGTTTTACCCAAATGGGGCACGGCAAAAGCAATAATGATAGTGGCAATGGTGGAGCAAAGCCAGTTCTCTTATGTAGGGTCAATCAATTTCTACTAAGCTAAAATTAGAGCTCGTAGGCACAACTTTTTTTACTGAAATGCAACAATCCACTTATTATTATCATCCTTTAGTTCTGTGCCTTTTTGGAATCCAACTCATGACTAGTCTTTATACCACTTATAGGCTAAAGCATTTGCCTGTATTTGTTTTTCATTCATCATTTATGACTGGATCTAACTAAAGAAACATTTTTTAAATATAGTTAAGACACACTATAAGTATAAGGGGTAACAAATAACTCCTAATACAGCCAGAAATCGACAAATACGTGTATTATTATTAGAATAAAGTACTTTTGAGTCCTCAACAAAAATCACAGGCCCCAATTTAATCCCTTAGGGAAAAAAAAGTTGACTTGTAGTCCCTCTGAAATTCAAAATAGACCCCGTTAGTTGAAATCGTGGTCTCTTTGAAATTCAAAGAAGACTCACGATAGTCTCTCAAAAAAACTAACATGGGTCTATTTTGGAATTCGAAGGGACCACGAATCCATTTTTTTTTAAGGGATTAAATTGGGCTCCGTGACTTTTGTTGAGGACCCAAAAAGTACTCTACTCTTATTATCATTTCTTCTTAAGGAAGTACGTATCTCAAAAATCAAAATGAACTTAATCACAGGTTAATGTTGGTTGCAATTATGTGGCTATGCAACAACATAATCATATCTAGGCATATGCAGAAACTTACTCTGCTTTTCACAAAAATGAAAAATTATATTGACAGTTACCGTGCATCATCTTAATTTTAGAATTGAAACATATATAAAAATTTTACACCTCAAATTAATCAACTTATAACCTGGTGTTCTGAGCCTTATTTTTGCAATAAGGAGTAGGAGGTTAAGACATTGCTACTCCTGAAGGTGGAAATCTATTAATAAAGATCCCTCTAATATCCAGTTTATCTTACACAATCAGTGTACCATGATGCAGATCTAATTTAACATAAATCTCTTTCATATCAAGCATTCTACATAATCTAAAATAGGATTGGAGGTAAACTTCAATTAAAAATCAGCTTTGAATTATGTCATATAGTATCCTAAATGCAAGGGTAAGGCTACGACCCACACCCCAACCCTATGGCCTTGTGCACCAGGGTTTTCCCTTTTAAGTATCGCAAATGGCTGGTACAGATAAACAAATCACTACATATTGCTGCAGGATGAGATGCTTTTAGGAAGAACATTAATAGTGACACAACGAGAATTTTGTTTATTTAAAAGAACATCTTTTACATGCTGGTATATTGTACAAATTTCAAACTAACATGCCTGTTTATATGTACCCTATAGATTATAGAAAACAAACTTCAAAAGGTCAACTTATGAGTTATCTAACATGCCCTTCATAGTCAACACTAACTATATATACCTCTTCTTACCTCACCACCACAAACATGGAAAGGAACTCACAGAAGATAACCACAAACATGGAAAGGAACTCACATAAGATATTTGTCTAGCGAATTACCCATCTTGAGATGCAGAAGACATGAAGTTATCCATTGTGTCTACGGTTTGTGCTTCAGTACTGGGCATGTTATTTGCATCTACTTGACAATCTACAATTTCATGTTGATAGTTTCCTTCCAATGGAATAATGGATTTTCCATATGCACACATATTATTAACCTTGGATGATGGTCCTGCATGTGGATGCAAGCATGGAACATTGTTTTGACACAGAAGACCATTATCCCCTACTTTGAAAATAGTAGAAGAGTTACACTGCTTTTGAAAGGGGAAATCACCCAGTTCATTGTCTATTTTCCCCTTAAGGTGTGCCAAAATGCTCCTCAACCTTAACAATTCTGCTTCAAGAAGTGCCTGCCCTTTTAGTTTCCTAACTAGTTGCTGATTCACCATACGCAATTTCTTAACTTCTTCCTCTAAGTAAGCAGTGTGTGCCTTCTTCTTCTCCCTATACTTTCGAACCGCTTCTCTATTGCCAGAACCCCTTTTTGGTCTTGAGTTGCTATGCTCTCTTTCATCATCTTCAGATGTAAAAACTTGGGTGTGTGTGTGATAGCATGTGTGTGTATGAGCAGCATCAGGGCCAGGTGGGTTGCATGTATGAGTGTGGCTGCATGTTTGGGTGCTCGTAGACAACAATTGAGTAATTGTATTCACAGATGTTGAAGCCTGAAAATTGCTGGATGATTCTGGATTCAAAAACACAACATTATCTGAATGCTTATTATCAGAAAGCTCAGCATTTCCACCAGCCATATGAGTGAAAGTTAGCAGCAATTTATCAACAGAAAAGCAAATCTGCAACAATCATTTGAAATTAACATTCACTATGAAATGAAAAAAGAAACTTCCAAATATATCAGATATTGCGTCAAACCTATTAAAGAATATATGCAAAGAAGCACAGGCCTCATTCAAAAAATGTCAAAAAAATTATTTTAGTATAGTCCTAATCAAGGAATATATACACATGACTAAACAATTGCCCAAGGAGTGAAATCAAATACTATGCTCAAATCTAGATGCTGGGGGTGCAAAGATTCCCAAAGCAGCTTAATTGAGAAAACTAAAGATTACCCAGTTGGATTCTATCCCCAATAATACAGAATTGAGCATAAAGGCAAAACCTTTTTCTTAAGTTGAAAAAAATAAGATGGGAGGAGAGAGAGGATATCCAAGCTCAAGTGGAGAAAGCATAATAGCAACCAAAAAATTCATGAAGAATCATATGAAAGAGCCAATAAAGAAGCATAAGAGTTGGTAGATTCATTTACTTGGCCCTTGATGGAACTGGAAGCATGCTGGTTTTTGAGTATATGCTACGCTTCTAGATTTTAGCCCTTGGAAGTAACTGTTTAAGAATTTTGTTCTTCAGTCATGATTTCTATGTAAAGGGGTAAGTCAAAGGATGCAAAAATGTCAACTGCTCCTATTAATTTGAGTCATCACAGTGACGGTGGGCCAGCGTGATGCACTTCTTCTTTTGACCACCTGAGTATTAATTTTATTTAAAATTAAAGGTCACATGGTGCAAAATTATAGAGAAAATAAGGCAGAAAATTACAAGAAATTTTCTGGTATATTATTATTCTTTAATAATCAAAAGTCTTTCTTTTACATCTTTCTAACAAGCCTTTTAATCGGGTAATACAAAAGTAACTGACAATAAAGGATCATCAACGGTCTTAAAACTAATACAAAACGGAAATAACCATCAACCAAACATAAAGTCATGCAAACTGGAATGTCTGCAATTATTAAAATTATAAAAGGCCTTAAAACTAAAACGTCTCCAATTATAATAACTTATGGTAACTCAAGTGCATCATCCTCCCTCGCTACGAAAAGATTCGTCCTCGAATCTACGTCGTCTTTATTGACGTCAACTTCTTCAGGTGGTAATCCAGGCGGCAATTCTTTTGGCATTACATCTGCGAATTTTGTCAGTTCTAAAATTTCTGACTTGGAAAGCAGAGAATTCTTTGCTTCCTTCCTCCAATCTAAAGGTGCTAGTGTAATAAGGTGACCATCCTTTTTGAAGGTGTAAGTATTTTTGAAACCATCATGTTTTGCCTTCCTATCAAATTGCCATGGCTTACCTAATAAAATGTGACAAGCATCCATAGGAACGACATCGCACCATGCCTCATCTGAATATTTTGTCCCAATTGAAAAACACACGTGGCATCTTTTGGTTACCCTCACCTCATTCCCTTTTTTAGCCAAGATAGCTTATAAGGTTGTGGGTGTGCTTCTGTTTTTAGCCCCAATTTTTCTATCATAGTGGTAGAAATCACGCTTTCACAACTCCCTTCGTCTATAATCACACTGCATGCTTTTCCCTCACTGGTGCACTTGGTGCGGAAAATGGTGTGCCGAAGCCACGTTTCATCATTCACCAAATCCTCATTCAAAACTCTTCGAGTGACTAGTGATTCTCCGGTATCAGCATAGACAATTTCTACCTTTTTCAGATTCTGTTTCTTCTTGTTCATCTACATTGTCATAGATTGGTTCTTCATCAAAAATTGGAGCATCTGCAAACGTCACAATCTGTTTATTTGGACAATCTGCAGCAAAGTGTCCAATTCCTTGGCACTTGAAACATCTCTTCCTTGCACTACTTTCTTTACTCGACCCTTCCTTGTAGGGAATTTTTTTTTAGGCGTAGAACTCCTTTCAGCAGGTGAAGTTTCTGATGAACTTACTGATTTAGCTCTGAATTCCTTTCTAGGAAATCTTGATTGAAACTTCGAACTGTCTCACCCTTTCTTTTACATTGTCCTTCCACCTTCAAGGACAATTTGCACACATCTTCATAAGACCAATACTGTTGTAGGTACACAACATCAGAAATTTCATCCCGCAATCCACCTAGATATCGAGCAATCACTTGTTCATCTTCTTCGACCATGTCAACGCATTCGAAGACGATCAAATTCAATGGTGTATTGTTCCATCGTAAGGTCACGTTGCTTGAAATTGTGATACTTAATAAATGCCTCTTGTCTGTATTGAGCAGACAAAAATTTGTGTTGCAACAATTTCTTCATCTTATCCCATCTTTGAATCTTAGACTTTCCGTCTCTGATTCTTTGTTTCTTGACATGTTCCCACCAGATTGAGGCATGCTTTCTCAATTTGATTGCCACTAATTTCACCATTTGCTCATCTGTGAGGTTTTTTAAATCAAAAACCCTTTTTTAAATCGAAAACCCTCTCGACGGTGTGTAACCAGTCGATAAATACATCAGGGTGAGTTGATCCCTCAAATTCTGGAATCTCGATCTTCATCCCAAATTTGAATTTGAAGGGTTGATCACCGGTTCGACCTCTCCTTGGTTTTTCGCGGTTCCAAAATGGATTTTCGTCCTCCTCTTCCTCTGGAGATGAGAGTTCAAATTCCTGTCTCCCTTCTGACCCGTGCCCGTGCAACTGTGCCTCTGCAAGCAGTTGTTCGAGTTCTTGGATCCGTCTGTCCTTTTCCTCAATCTCAGCATCTCTCGCATCAATATAATAATCGTCATTGGTAGGTTGACCGCATCCTCTGCCGCCACGACCTCTTCGTCCACAACCACGACCTCCGCGATTTTTCCACTCAGCCATCTTTAAGGCAACCTGAGCTTTGATACCAAATAATGCAAAAGTATAGGGAAAATAGGCTTTCAGGAAAATGTAGAAGTTTTCTGCTATACTATTATTCTTTAACAATCAAAAGTTCCCCTTTCACATCCTTCTAACAAGCTTTTTAATCAGGCAATACAAAAGTACTGACAATAAAGGACCATCAATGGTCTTAAAACATATACAAAACGAAAAATAACCATAAACCAAACATAAAGTCATGCAAACTGAAACGTCTGCAATTATTAAAATTATAAAAGGCCTTAAAACTAAAACGTCTCCAATTATAATAACTTATTGTGACTCAAGTGCATCAGTATATTTCTTTATGTTATAGGAGATAAATTAATCTATTATATTGATAAAAATATTAATGAAACTTTCGTCGTTTTGGTGTTCTTTTGTATTCTCTTTCCTCCATTTTTTCTCCTAATTTTATAAAAAAGAAAAAATATCAAAATAACATAAAATTATGTCATTCAAAATAAACCCAAACCAAAGTTAAAAGCCTTTATGACACATGTAAAAGAAAACTAAAAATATTTCACCCAATTAAATTATAGGAAAATATATTCTTATGTTGTAGGAGAGTGTTTTTCTCTCCTACACATACATCGATTTTCGTATTACTTTTTTATCTTTATCTTTTCTTTTTTTATAAGTAGATAGGTCCCACACATGATTGTCTCTATAGCATGAGAAAGCTTATCTCCTATTACATGAGATTAATAAAGTCGTTAAATTATTTTACAAACGATTTATCTATCTAATTCGAAAGACGCATATCATGTAAATATGTAATATGCGTTCAAAAGCTGTGCACACCACCATAAGAGATGCGGCACATAATAATTGTATATTAGATTTTGCGCAAATTGTGTATAGGATGACATTATTTATAATTTGAACGCGCATTATTTGGATTCAACTTTTTCTTACATTAAATTGATAAATTATTTATTAAAAAATTAAATTGGTAAGTAGATAACCCAATTTAGCTGGGCTAAATTGAAGCTCAAGACTGGACCGAGCTAATAAACATGAAGTCCTTAGCTGGGCTGATAATCTTGGCTAGGCTGAGTTGATATTCAAGGCTGGGGCCAAGCTAATAATCATGAAGCCCTTAGCTGGGCTGATAATCTTGAAAATGCTCGAGGCCAAGGCCAAGCTAATAATCATGAAGCCCTTGGCTGGGCTAATAATCTTGAATCCCTTGGCTGGGCTGAGTTGAAGCTCAAGGCTGAGGTCGAGCTAATAATAATGAAGCCCTTAGCTGGGATGATAGGTGGAGCTGAGTTGATGCTCAAGGCAGAGGCCAAGCTAATAATCATGAAGCAATTCGCTGGGCTGAGTTGAAGCTTAAGGTTGAGGTCGAGCTAATAATCATGAAGCCCTTAGGTGGGCTTATAATCTTGAAGCCCTTAGCTGAACTAAGTTAAAGCTCAAGGCGAAGGCCAAGATGTTAAACTTAAATCTCTTGGCCAGGTTGATAATCTTGAAGCCCTTAATTGGGCTGAGTTGATGCTCAAAGCCAAGACTGGGCTAATAATCATGAAGCCCTTAGCTGGGCTGATAATTTGGAAGCCCTTGGTTGGGCTAAGTTGAACCTCAAGGCTGAAGCTGAGCTAATAATCATGAAGCTCTTAGCTGGGCAGAGTTGAAGCTCAAGGTTGAGGATGAGCTAATAATCATGAAGTCCTTAGCTGGGCTAATAATCTTGAAGCCCTTGGCAGGGGTGAGTTGATGCTCAAGGCCGAGCAAATAATCATGAAGCCCTTAGCTGGGCTGATAATCTTGAATCCCTTGGCTAGGATGAGTCGAAGCTCAAGGCTGAGGTCGAGCTAATAATCATGAAGCCCTAGTTGAGCTGATAATCTTGAAGCTCTTGGCTGGGCTGAGTTGAAGCTCAAGGCTGAGGCCGATCTAATAATCATGAAGCCCTTAGCTGTGCTAAAAATCTTGAAGCCTTTTGCTGGGCTGAGTAGAAGCTCAAGGTTGAGGCTGAGCTGTTAAACTTAAAGCTCTTGGCCAGGATGATAATCTTGAAGCCCTTGACTGGGCTGAGTTGATGCTCAAGGCCGAGGTCGAGGCCGAACTAATAATCATGAACCCTTGGCTGGGCTGAGTTGAAGCTCAAAGTTGAGGCTCAAAGTTGAGGCCAAGCTAATAATTATAAAGCCCTTAGATGGGTGATAATCTGAAAACCCTTGGTTGGGCTGAGTTGATGCTCGAGGCCAATGTCGAGCTGTTAACTTTCGTACACTAAAGATGTGATTGTGAATGAATTCAAAAAGCCATCCACATGACGCATTACTTTTTGGAAGATTTTTCCTTCAATGGTGCTAAGGGTTTACATTCTTTTTTATGGATCCCATGGTGAGCATCTGTTTTGGACTAAAGCTGGGTTATTAATGGTTTGCCAATACCTTATCCCACAAAATTTGAGATGATACTTCCTTCAATAAAGAATTCAAAATTTCTACGTACCTCTTTCCTTATGACTTAATGACCTCAAGGTCTTTGCTTGCTCTACTAAGGATTTATTAAATCGTCACCTGCTTGGATATAGAGCTCCATTCTAGAGTCTCTCGGAGGATCAAAATCCTTTCGTGCTGGAGGGTTTGTCTCCTTCTATATGTAGAATTTTAGGGCGCGCGAAGCAGCCTGCAATTTGTGGCTTCGCGCTATGCCGCACGTGTTCACCATGGATGAGAATCAAAATTTGCCGAGTCCCCACAAACGGCGCCAATGTTCGATCCTAGAGA